AATAATAATAATAATAATAATAGTAGTCTACTATTTCTATCTATTGTAAAAACTTGAAGTTAGTATTTATATTTTATCCTAGTACTATAGAAAGGGCTATAAAGATTACTGTTTGCATGCTAGACTCTTAAAATAATTAATAGTATGACATAAGACGCTTGTAATGCTGTGTTTATTAGACTATTTAGATAAAGAAATATATAGAGGAAAGGCTGACCCTAAATGTAGTCTGTATTATAGAGTACCTATTCTCTTAGCACTCACGCTTCTCTCCTAGGTAGCTATGTACTTCTCTACATTCTAGAGATTCGTGTACGCGGAACCGTATGTCATTATCTCGACAGCTTCCTCTATTGCTTTAGTCATGTAGGGGAAAGCGAGATTGGTGGACTGGCCAATCATAGTTCACCGCGGACCTCCAGCGTGTTCACTCACGACCACCTGAGCACTCTCCAAATGCTAAACCCATCAGATTGATTCTTTATGAACTCGCAGTATCTGGTCTTAACCTGGCTCCTATCAGACCTCAAACCGACAGAAGGGGCAAACAAATTGCACAAACTGACAACTCCATGTCCGTTGCTATCCCACTAGATTGCTTCCTCCGCTGCCGAGCCTCCGTCAGACGGTTCCTAAAACCTACGACATGTCCATCAAGATTCAAGGTTCCCTTCAATCGGCATGCATGCAGCGAGTTATTCTCACGGCTCTAGAGCTCGGTGTCGACTACAACCTATATGACATTAACATAGTAAAAGGAAAATAGAAGGTTAAGACGGCTGATTATTCTCGCCGATAGCAACTAAGAAACATGTACTAACGCTTCTTATGCCAGTCAATACCAGCCTTTCGGCCGCATTCCCGCCTTAGAAGAGGGCTCAATTCGCATCTTCGAGTCCCGAGCGATATGTCAGTAACTAGTAGCTGAGTCTGCCAAGGGCTCAGGAAGGACGGTTGCATACGATAATATTGACGGGCCAGTTGCTGTGAGGCTAAGAGAGCAGTCGGCAAGCGTTGAGTATTCGTATTATGGTCCTCCGATGGCGAATTTAGGTTATAAGAAGACGTTTACGAAGTATTTATGTACTGTTAATTCTTTGCTACTAACTGCTCCTATCATTGAGTCTGACTGGGTTTGTTCCAGGTTCATGAGTAGAGGCGAAGCAAACTATAATGAATTCGAGACAGCGAGTCAAATTTAACAACTACACTCGATTACTTTGATAGAGTATTTTTAGACCAAATGTATCTCTCAGGTCGTGTAAGCCGGACATCCCACATGTCTGATATCTGCTGACAATTCGAACCACAAGACATTAGATTGCTGGAGATCTAAGCCGCACGTTGGATTAACTTCCTTCCAATAATCCGCATAGAGCAGGATCACTCTTCAAGATACAGAGTCCAGAACTGGTGGGCACATGTCAGTGAACGGCCGTCTTAGAAGGAGCTCATCGGGCCCCTAATTGTACCTTGACAGGATTGTGATGCAATAATACGTCGCGGTGGTGCGCTCGTATCTTGTTACACTGTAGCAAGTCGTTTTGGCTAAGAGTGGTTGTGTTGTGATCTGCTCCGTCCACCAGGCTTGTTCACCGGTCAATTCAACTTAGTTTTAGTAGCGAATGACTGGATTCCCACTTCTTAGCCTAAAAACTCCTTTTCTACTACTGTTTCTAATACATTGCTATATGTGTAACCATAGCCCGAAAAATAAAACCAAACACAACTATTTCTGGCCTAATTAAAACTCAACGGCACACACACCAACTTCGAGTTTTCTAGAATAGGTGTAATACTAGCTAAATATATACAAATCTCTTATAAGAAAT